GCTATTGTACAGTAAATGCTTTATGATATTAGTTGATATGAGCTTGTATAACCATATAAGAGTAGAGAATGGGTAAGAGAATTGAGAATTTAGTTAGAAGTCATTTTTAGAAATAGTGTAGTGACAATTCCATTAAGGTACAGTGCTAAAGTAAACAAGATATGTTAGAAGTGTTACATTCGAATTCAGGGAATTTAATTCTCTGTTAATCTAATGGAGATATTTCTCAAGGGATAAGTAAGGAGATAGTGATTATAAAGGAGTATATATAGGGAATAAAATGAAAAAGGGGTGTAAAGTGTGAATTATAAGTTGATATGGGGTAAGGAAATGGTAGATAATGTTATGAAAAGATTGATTGATTTCGTAAAGTATACGTTTAATAACATTTGAAGAGGTTTAGGGTTGTATTCTGAGTTATAGAATGATGGAATAAGAGATTGGGTATGGTTATAAGGTAATTACAAATGGATTGGGTTCTTTGGGAAGTGAAAGCAAATCATTCATTACAAATTGCAATGGGATAAAGTAGAGAAGGATCATGAGAACATTGAAAGATATGTTCTTATCGATATGTGTAATGAAAATTTGAGGACGAATTTTCTTTAAAGGATGAGAGATTTGTAACATCCTCAATACCGGGTTAGTGACTAAATTGTAAGGTTTCAAAATTTGGTGATTTAAATTAGAATAATTGAGTGGTTTAAAGACTTATATGAGAAATGAGGTGTAAGATCAAATTGAAAAGAATGAGGAATGAAAGGATAGTATGGTCATTTGTAAAGAAAAGAAAAATATAATAATAATATATGGTATATATAGATACACGTAGAAGGAAGGAAACAAAGTTTAGAGGTTTCCAGAGTTCTCTTCTATTTTTTTCTTCTTCTTCTTCACGTGTGAAGCCAAGCAAAGGTGAGTTTTCTCTTGAGCTGATTATGTGCTGAAATTTAAGTTTAGTTTTGATTATTAGATGCTAAGTAAGATTAAGGAAAGATTAATTTGCTTTAAAACAACAAGATGAAGAGTTTATGAGGATTTAAAGATTTGGAGTTTTTGAATGAAATATCGAAATAAAGTTTATATTGAGAATTGGAAGTTGAATTTGACTTGTCATCAAGTTAATTAAGGGATAGGAAGTGTTAGAATAGGAATTTGAACATGTTGCAAAACTAGTATAATTTTTGCAATTACATAGGAATGACTAGATTTGAAGTTAAAGAAGTGATTATGGAATAAAAATAAGTTTAAGTATGTGTATTAAAGTTAGGAGTATTAAAAGAAGTGAAATAGGAAGGTTTGAGCTGAAATAAGGTGATTTTCGAGCTCAAAATGGGATTTCTGGGCTAGGGGAATCGGTACCCATTCAAGGGGAATCGATCCCCCCTCAAACGAATATGAATTTCCAGAATGCTAGAGGGGAATCGATACCCCCAGGGGGGAACCGATTCCCCCATAATGAAAAAAGAAGAAGAAGAAAGAAAAGAGACTAAACTATTAATCCCTTGAATTGGTAGGCTATTAGAGGTTAATTTCAAGACTTAGGCATCTGATAATCATCTTGAAAATTATGCTTATGTAGATATTGAACGTGACTTTGCTTCAAAGTAATCGAAGGGTTAGAATTGATTCAATTCAAACAAGGCTAAGGTGAGTGCATATGCATAATATGATTATGTTAGTATATTCAGTTCTAGACTTGCGATAAGTCTAGATTTAATATCTTGATACATGATTAATTCAATATTATTAAATATGATATGAATTCATACCATATGCATTATGGGATATACTATGCAGATTGTGGTAAGTCTATTTCCAGATTAGAGCTTATATATGAATGTATGTGTCATGGGATTGAATGAGTTACGAGATATCTATATTAGGTATATGAAGTGTGTGTGATGTGTTTGTTATGGTTTATAGGTATAAATGAGCATATTTATTGACATGTTACAGTATATATATATATATATATATATATATATATATATATATATATATATATATATATATATATATATATATATATATATATATATATATGAGTTGTGTAAATAGGTAGATAATGTGTTAAATATGTGAAATAGTTAAAATGATCAATATGATTTCATAAGAATATGAAATAAGAAGTATGGAAATGACATAAGAAAGAATATGAAGTATATATAGCATATGAATATGAAATCATATGAGGGGTGACATGAATTATATGAAAAATAAACTACATGATTACAAATATATGAAAATATGCTAGTTTGATGGGACCTAGGAACTAGTATACGTGATATATATATATACATTTATATAAGTTATGGGATGAAAAATGAACAAGAGATGAAGGATAATACTATAGGAGTATGATAAAAACATAAATGATGACATGTATGTATGTATGTATGTAAGGGTTATATGAAAAGGTATAGGTAATAAGATGATCATATGAACATGTGATAAAGAGCTATAGAAAAAGAAAATGTGATATGATATGTGAATATGTAATAAGTTAAAAGACAATGCCCCTGATATGAGTTATGAGAACTGTAAGTATAGTTGGCATGCCAAGAGTCAAAGAACTACCTATGTCTTTTGAGACATATGGATAGTATACCTATGTTCTAAGGAACATATAGATAGTTTACCTAGGTTCTTCGGGACCTATGGATAGTTACCGAGGATCTTTATGACCTCTGGATAGTTACCGAGGATCTTTATGACCTTTGGATAGTTACCGAGGATCTTTATGACCTCTGGATAGTTACCGAGGATCTTTATGACCTCTGGATAGTTACCGAGGATCTTTATGACCTTTGGATAGTTACCGAAGATCTTTATGACCTCTGGATAGGTCCTTCGAAATATTCATTGAGCTGTGGTGACATCATACGTGTGCACAACCTCATAATACTCGTATACCTTGGGTTCTCAATAGTGTATATGGGCTTAAATAAGACATAACGAGGATGTATATAATTGTATCTTAATATGGTATTATTACGATTTATATTGGCTCATATGTGGTATAATAAATGATGGTATGATAGTATAATTGTGTTTGGATAGTAGACGACATGTTTATATTTTAGTAATTCTTTATTATGTAATTATGCCTCACTAAGTCTATGACTTAGCGTGTAAATGTTTTTACACGTAGGTTTCGAAGAGTAGGAGAATCAAGAATAGGAATTTGCAGATCAACATATCTCTACTCAGCGATCAGATCAGAAGTAAAGTCACAGTATGTATTTTGTTGTATGTAGTGTGTTGGCATGTAAGAAAAGTGTTAGTTACAAATGCTCTGATTAGTTTTGTCTTGTTTTGGTTAACTCGTGTACAGTGACAATGTTATTTTAATAAAAGTTTTAAATTTCATTGGTTTTCGTTAAAAGATTAAAGTTTGAAAAGTCAATGTGACACCTCAGACTTGTATCCGGGTCGGATACGGGTTGAGGGTGTTACAACTTCTAGGTTCAACAACCTACAATGTAGCATCATCTTGTGAAACACTAATGTAAGCAATGAATCGCTCAACATCTTTATTGTCGGTTAACAAAAAAACTTTACATTTTCTCTGATAAGATAGCCTAAATCCACTTAGAGGCTCTAAATTCAATTTTTTTTGCAACACGTAACATTAGAGTTTCATAAGTTAATTTTTTTAATGACAGTTTTAGTTGAAGATTCATAGGTAAAGGCATATATTGTAAAACACCATGAACATTCTCCTATGACCCTCCAAAATACAAATATATCCAAACATAATCAACATTAGATGATTTCATTCTACAAATTATAAATTAATTTACTAAATAAACGAGCTATAAACTAGATATCATCACTAACTTAGAGAAAAACATACCTTTATTAAGTTGATAGTTGATAATTTGGGAGAGAAATCATTGAAAAATTATATATAAATAAAATTATCTAAAAAAAATTAGAGATGGGGAAGGATGTCGTTGGATATTGGAACGGTGTCGCCGGAGAGAGTGATAGATGGAGATGAAATGAGTTGCGATTTAGGGATTTAGGTTATGAGTTGTTGTTGTTGCGTAGTTTATATACCCAAAATATTTGTGTTGCGAAAATAAAAGTTGTTGCGAAATTAAAATTCGTGTTGCGAATTCGAAAATCGAGTATAGAAAACAAAATTCGTGTTGCGATTTAGAAAATCTTGTTGCGAAAAGGAAACTTATGTATGAAAAATAAATTCGCGTTGCAAATTTGAAATTCCGTGTTGCGAATTTGACTTCTATGTTGCGATTTACAAATTCGCACATGTGTTGCAAAATTGGAGTTCGCGTTGCGAATTTGTTGGACATTTTCGCAAATCCAAAAAAAGTTGGTTAAAATCGTATATTATAAGACATTTTCGGTCACTGAAGTTATTTTCTCAAAAATTAAATGAATGCAAACATATCCAAAAAGAAAAAAAAACAAACTTAAAAACGACTTTATTTATTCAAACTCGATTCATTTACACCTCTAATAACTCTAATAACTTATAAGAGAAAAATACGTGTGGAATTTTGAAAATGGAAAAAAATCTACATTATTATTATCCTTAAATTTTTTATGATTGATAATCAAAATAAAAATATAATATATTTAAATATATTTTTAACAAAATAAGGGTATATTATGTATTTAGTACTTAAATTATCGGTTTTGATCCGTTTTAATACCTAAACTTTCATTTTTTTCAAAATCATACCTAATGTTTAGTTTTTATTTTATTTTAGTAACCCACCATTAAAAATTTAACATGTTTAGTACTTAAACTATCAGTTTTGATCCGTTTAGTACCTAAACTATCAGTTTTGGTCCGTTTAGTACCTAAACTTTCATTTTTATTCAAAATTTAACACTAAATTTTGAATAAGGGTACTAAAATGAAATAAAAACTTAATTTTAAGTATGATTTTGAAAAATTTAAAAGTTTAAGTACTAAAATGGATTAAAATTGATAGTTTAGGTATTAGATATGTAATTTACCCTATTAACATTGTAGCTCCAAAGCCTACCGCAAACCCCCAAATTCGGGAAAACCTAATTCTCAACCTTAAACTTTCTCTCTTCAATTGGGTTTCCTTTCTTCTTCCTTTTTAGTCCTCCCAAGCTTCGCCGCTCCTTTTTTCATTGTAAGCTATGTTAAACGTCACAAAAATGGAAAGTCCACTTACAAACGGTGTCGCGTTGGACAGTTCCGTGGGCTTTGCACCGGAAGCTATGCTGATCGAAACTGCCATTATAGCTACTAAGTCAGTCGCTTGGTTGGTGATGGCGATGGTAAATTTCCCTCTTTTTCCTTTTAATTACCATCATTTGTTGAAGTTGGAATTCTTTCTTTTGCCTTTTGAGGTTATGGATTCTGCTGCTTTGCATATTAGGTTGTCTACAATATTTTAATTCTCCTAGTCATCATGCATTTAAATAGCTGCCGTTATGTAGCCGTAGAGGTGTCATCTTAAACCATTATAGACTCGTAATCATCGTAAGAACGCCCGTTATCTTTGCAATTGCGACGCAACGTAACCGAGAACGAGATTTAAATCTTTGATTCTCATATAGTTTAGAAGGATGTTTAAGAAGAACTTGATTAGGATGTTCATATAGGCCAATAGGGAAGAGTACATAAGGCATAGATTTGGTAGAGGCATTGTTTGAGTCAATCCTTTACCTTAATTTTCAGTTTTGTTTTGTTGATTGTCCATATTTTGGTGCAAATGCTTGTTTGTTTGTCAATTTGTCATTCATATTGATCGATAATTATAGTTTCATGGTCCTAAAGTTGTGTCGTTTGATGCGGCGGCGATGTGTTTATTTGTTCTAAATTGCTTAGAAGCTGCGCTTGGAAGAATGTTTGTTTTGATCCTAAGCATGAGTTCGGTGTTTCTCCAGATGGGAACTATGTCTAATGGAATTGATGTCCTCATCAAAAAGCCTGAATCACATGCAGGGTTAGTTGCATAAATTATTTTACCTAACTTGTTCTTTTTCTTCTTTGGTGGAATGGGGGAAATCGTTCGATCTGTTTTTGCAGGTTTCCGCTTGCTCTTCTTGCGGCAAGAAAGCCTGTTCCGGAGAACAAGGATGCTGGTGACAATGAGGATGACGATGATGATGAGGAGGGAAATGAAGCAGCAAGTGATGAATATGATGATGCCGGTGAGGAGGAAGATGTATCAGGAAAAGACAGTGAAGGTGAAGTTGGAGGGGATCCAGAGGATGAACCTGTGGCCAACGAAGATGGAGCAAGTGGAGATGAGGACGAAGACGATGACGAAGATGACGAAGACGACGACGAAGATGATGACGACGATGACGATGATGGAGGTGAATATGAAGAAGAAGAGGAAGAGGAGGAAGAAGACGAAGAAGAGGAGCTTCAGCCACCGGCTAAAAGGCGAAAATGACCTTAGGATCACTTTCCCTTGTTTTCTGTTTCGTCTTGCCTAGGTTGCGGGTTGGATTAGAGATTAGAAACTTTGACATTTTCAAAACCAGACTATTATTAGGGATTTTAGCACTACAAGCTAAGAGCGATTCCGGTTCTAGCAGTCGTCGACAACGGAACTCGAAGGAAACATAAAAAACTGAGGATCCCAAGCATAGAGGAAACTGACTGAACTGAAGCCATTCAAAGCATTGCCTTGGATAACAAGGCAATCGTCACCTTGCTTCACGAAAATGCTCGGATCCACAGTTTCGACAGATTGGAAGTCCTTGCAAGTAAGCTTCAGATCATGTTGACTGCATTTGCAGTTGGTGGTAATTGTCACCTTCCATTCAGCCATACCTGTATCTCTTTCCGGTTCTGACCGTACCGATGACGATGCCGTTCAAGGAGCAAACAGAAAACCCTGCATTTAAATATCGAAAAACGAAAATTTAAAGCAACTTGTCTGAGAAATCTTTCTACTGCTAAGACAAAGCATTTTGCTCTTATGATATTTTCTGATAAAACGTAATCCCTGAGACTATTTCCAGTATATAATTTATGTTGAAACTATTTCCAGTAAATAATTTGTATTAAAATTGTTATGTTATCTAAATTTGAAAAAGTAGATAGTGTGTTAATTATTAAAAGGCTTAACGATTGTATCGTTTTTCTTAAATAGGTACTTAAAGTTTTTTCTGATTCATCTAGATGTTTACAAACGTTACCACTTTAAGTGTCCAGATCGTAACCACCATTAAAAAAATTCGTTAAGCGACACATGTTATGTTATGGTAATTCTGATTTTTTTTTTAAATATTTTTTTATTAAAAATCCCAAAATTTTCAGAAATATTAAACCCCCAAAACTTAGAAAAGCCTAATTTCAATCCTATACCCCTGCCGACCGTTGCTTTGGCCGTCGACCAAGCCTACCCCTAAACACGTCTCCACCCGACAGTCATTTAACCCTGAACAATCACCCGAAAAACAACACCTCAGCGATGAAATCAACGGTAAATCTGACGAAACGACGAACTCAATTCAACTCCTGTCGGCTCCGATTGTGGTGGCTCTTCGTCGAGAAAATGATATTCGAGTGGAGGCACGACCGAGCGGAGGTTTGGTTGACGATAACAGTGGCAAGGGCGGCATTAGATGTGGGTGTAGGGATTATATTTAGGGTTTTTCAAAGTTTTTCAAAAATTTTGGATTTTTAAAAAATGTAAATTTAAGTTTTTTTTATTTTAAATAAAATTTTTAAAATTATCTGAACGCAACACATGACCTTTAACGATAGAATTTAACGGTCCACACACCTAAAATGATAACATTTGTAACGTTAGACATTTGGATGAATTGAAAAAAAAAAGTGTGGACACCTATTTAGAAAAAACGATAAATTTGAATACTTATTTTATAATTAATCCGTATTAAAATACATTGTCTCTCGAGTAGAGATACAGATGTACTTGATCGAGGTAGATAATACAGTGGACAGAATGCGAAATAAATTAATCTTAAATTCGCTTATAGATTCAATTCGCCTGTGACATTCAAAATATATTTACCTTAATCCTAACTTTTACTAAACATCGAACCACATATTTATGACTTACATTAATATATCAAGAATTGATCTCAAGATAATCCGGGATGGGCATGAGACCCGAACTCATCCGATCCGATCAGGTCGGGTTTTTGTTAAAAAAATCAGGATCGAGTTCGGGTTTAGGATGAAAAATACCCGACTCGACCTGAAAAATATATAAATTTACCTTATATATTTAGGATCCTCTATATATAAATTTTTTCAATTAAGTAACTGTTTTTATTTAATAAAAAAATATTTTATTATTATTTCGGGTCGGTTTCTAAGTTATATATCGGGTTGGGTTCGGGTCGGGTGAAATCTTGTTTTGTTCGGGTCGAGTCTCGGGTGGAGACTCCCTTGTTCTCGGGTCGGGTCGAGTGGACCAAAAATTCGACCCAACCCGACCATACCCATCCCTAAAGATAATAAACTAATGATTAATGTTAATATCTAATTTATACATAATATTATTGTATTTATAGATATGAAGATAAAATGTATCCTCTCAATAATATTATATGATTTGTGGAAATGGAGTATGGCCATTGGTCGTTCATCTAAGATGAATGATTTAATTATTATTTTATGTTATAATCATTTTCGTCCTATGATTTACAAAGAAACAATGAGATAAAAGTGATCAAAGCAAGCGAGTAAATAAAACTTGAAGAGAAGATAAATATCTCTAGGGATGCGCAAGAGATTCGGAACAGACGAATTTTGATCTGACTTGATTTTTTAAGGTAGGATTTTTTTGTTGAAAATTTGAGTTCGGGTCGGGTTTAAAATAAAGTCAAGTTGAGTTCAGGTTTAAGGTGAAATTTTTTTCGACCCGATCCAACTCGAGATAATAGTATAATTATCACTAATATATTTAGGAGAAATTGTAATAATATCTCTCTATATGTACTTTCATTTAGTTCCCTATTTTTTCCAACACGGGTCTAATACGTACCCTAAAAATTGAGTTGAGTTTCAGGTAAGTTGGAACGCCCTTAAACATAAACTAGATCAAAGGACAAGTAGAGAAGTAGAATACTCAAATTAAATTCAAATCGACAAAAAATTCGATCTGATCCAACCCATTCTCATCCTCATATATGTCTAGGGATAATATGACATTTGATTTGGATGGGAGAAATACCAAACAAGATGGAAATTAGGAAGGCTTGCAATTAACTTGAGATGGGGAATAAAGCCTCTTAACCCTTTTTAACAGGTTGAACTCAACTGATACATAAGATCATTATATGACATTTATGTAATACCCCAAAATTTGATTATTTGACCATCTTACCTCGAGATTCTAGTAAGTGTACTAGAAAAACAACCTAACATTTTTCATTGAAGGTGGCTAACCCTTCTCACTTACATAGGTTATTTCATCAGGTTTATATCGACATAAATTACCCTTAACAAAGCTATGAAATAATTAAGAGCTTTTATTATAGCTCAACCTCACAATAGGTATGGTGACTTTCTTCAAGTTCATTATTAATGAACCACCCAAACTCTGGGATAAGAAGTAAGAATAAATATTCAACCTCATTAATCGGTAAAGTCAATAAGTCTTTCTCACTAAGACCACCCAGACACGTATTACCACGAGCCGGACCAAGCCGAGTCAGACGGACAGCAGCGGCGGCGCGAGAGAGTTCCCCTTGTTTTCTTTCACTCAACAAGGAAGTGGAGAATTCAAAACCTTAAATACCCGTTTCCAATAGTGTTTCCAATACTATATGTGATTGAGCATTACCAACCATAAGTATTCCGTTGGACCCTTTAATTTTAAGTGGATTCAATTTTAGCCCACTTCTCAGACTCACCCAACAATCGCTCACCAAGGCTGTCGTTTTTCTGCGTGTTCGTTCAACTGCTTAGCAATTGTTGGATGATTATTAGGCGATGGTGAACTGAGTGACAGAAAACGACAGAGTTGGATTTGTAATATAATATTTTATGAAGTGTTTTTCGACGAATTTTATGGCCAGTTAAGGTCTCCGACGATGACGGATGCTGATGGTCTTTCTTAATTTAAATAATTTACAAGTCTTAATGCTAAACAAATTAAATTACTTAAATTAATCATTATTTTTAATTAAAAAAATCATAATTTAAATATAATTCTATTAAAATTAAAATTAAATTGTAATTAATGGTTAATTTTAAATAAATTCTTATATTTTTTTAATATTTACATAACAAGGACATATTTACTTGTGGTACGTTTCGATACACCACTTTAATAGTACGTTGCAGTATGCGACGTACGCTGTAAATTTTTTCATATACATTATCTCCAAGATTTGCAGGAAAAATATCTTAACAATATTTAGTGAGCATATAGATCTCGTAAGACCCTTATTTCTATTATGATCTGTAAACTCTATTTTGATTTATGATAATTCATATTTTGTTAATCGAAATTCTAATTTTATAATAAATTGATTTTGATTTCGCCTTTGATTTGAAAGGCTAACGAAATTATAATAATTTTTTAAAAAATAATCTGAGATGATTATAAGGTAGTATGTATAAAATATTTCTTTACCATTGAGAATGTACACACACTCTGCAGATGCAATTGTTCAAACCTAAGACCTTGAAAGAGAGATACTATCGACGTTTACATCTTCCATCAACTGTACAACTTGGACATTATCAGATTAAATCTACAAGCACTTGAAACCATAGACCCGAATTTGCAAACCTTCATATGAACCCCACGACTCGACTCGTAAAATATCGATGATCCGCGTTTTTACAAAACCCGAACAACTAGCTACCATCGATCTCGTGTGACCCCAATAATGCCAATGCCAATAGATGGTGCAACAACATTAATATTTAGGCAACACAATCCTTGTGGCAACCTCTGCCTCGTGATATCCTCAATGCCACTCGGCTAGGGTTCGACATCTAACGAAATATCGAACCTAATTCAATCTACAATGTTGCTTTTGTTTCTTTGCAAACACATTAACGTCTAAGCATCAAATATAGAGTGCAAAGGAACTTTTGGTGTAGAAAAATGAGGGATCGTAGAAAGATGGATGGTTCTTTGTTACAGTAAAACGAATCGTTGTAGAGAGATGGCCGAGAAAAAGGATTAGAATTACTCTATAGAACAAATCCAGTGGTAGATAGTGCAAGTGTATATAGACTTGTTCAATGGGAAAAAGCACTTATGTTAGGGAAAGGTTAAGAAACATACCTCTTAGTGGTGTGTGTGAACCTCCAAGCGACTCTCCAAGGCGTTCCTATAATGGACTAAACCCAATGATCATGCCAACCTTCCCGAGTTAGCTCCATAGTCTCCACACAACTGTATATCTTGCTAGTTGCAGTTTGATTAATCTTAGCCGCAGAAACTACATGTCAAAGAGGGATATATGCTAAAGAAAACTTCACGCTAAGCAGTGATGTGTCAACAAACGCTGCTAGAGGCTTTAATAACCATAAAGGTAAAAGCATTTGCCTACATTAAAGGTATCCATGGCTGAACCAGACCGGACCAAGGCATCATAAATCAACCAGATAAGGTTTCAGAATGGCATCATAAATCAACCAAATGGCGGACATCATCAACAAAACCCTATACATATACATTGCAATGCTTGATATCTACTAATAGAATAGCCATCGGAAGCTCAGGTAGCTCCATTTAGCAGGGAGGATACCATACCTCCAAAGATGAGACGGGAGTTGATGATAAACGAGAAGCTAAATCACCCTCATAAATAAACGGGGAATTTCAAAGCTTATCTCCAAACACAATCATCAAGAAGTAAATATTTAGTTAAATAATTGTAAAAACAGAAATAAGTACATAGACTTCATTTAACAGTATTGTCAATTCTTCAAGCAAACAAAACCTATCATGTCCATAACAATAATATTTTCTAACTTATCTTTGTTTTGTCATCAAAGCATCACACAATGAATAGCTGTTATATCAATTTAATCACAGGATAAGTTCTGCAACTAAAGTAAAAAAACTACATAACCTTTGAGATGCCACCAAGAATTCAAGGTGCATCATCCTTTCTTTCCGCAAACCAAACAATCGATGTTAGGGTAGAAAACCAATACAGCTTGACATTTGAACCGCCTTTGATTTTGCTGAACACTTTGAGTTCATGGTTCTTGCTCAAACACTCAATTCCTCCCACCTCCTGGTAACAAACTAGCCAGAGAGGGAACTCCTTGGTTTCTCATTTCTTCTTGTGCTCGCCTCATTTCTTCGGGATCTGTTGCAATAGATAAGAGGTTGACAAAATTAGCAAAAATGAAATTTCTAGCCTATACATTGAGAGGGGCAGGAGCATTTGAAAATAATAGAATGAATTGTTAAAAAATGTAATGTTTGGGAAAAATTGCAGCTCAACTATTCTTCATACAAGCAGAAAATAGGCAATATAGGAGATTTTATCCCAATCAAGAAAACAAATGCAAGCAAGTACATAAGCAGCATATTCTCCATCAAAATAAACTCTTATAAATCTAGTGCAAGTAGTAACTTCAAGAAAGCTACCAAGTCAGAGCACATTACCCATGTTTTCCACTAATTTGGGCATTAAGAAAACAACCACCAGCATAAATCCCACCATGAGACCCATTGGGCTTTTCACAATATTCATTATGGAGAAAGGTTCCCTAATCTGCAATAAAGTAGGATAAACATGAAGCAAAGGATAGAAAGTAACTGCAAACAAAAAAGAAACATAAACACGCATAGAAAAAGGCTCCTTAACCTCGAAATATTGTTCCTCTCTCAATGGCTCTAAAACCAATTCACTGAGACCCCTCCGGTTCTCCGTTAATGCTGCCTGTACCTTGCCTGGGTTTCTAGCACTAACATCAACTCTAACCTAAGAAAGATCGAAAGGCATTAATGTTAATGAAGAAAAACCAAAATAATTGAACCATTAAAATTCTCCGAGAGTCGGGGAAGAAAGAAAAATCTTACAGGAGAAAAGAAATAGCCAATTGCAGTCACTTCAATCAAATGAGTCCCTGCTGATATGTTCTGGCTTTTAGGCATTTTTTTAAGGAATTATAATAGTTCAGAGGAAATATTTACTACCACCCAATTTACACAATATCTCATTATTTAATAACAGAAAAACAGTATCAAAAGGGCAAAGAAAAAAGAAAGTAAAATATATGGATTTCCAATCAGATCTATGCATAAGAATTGCCAACAACTTCTTGGCCTCAGTGGCAGAAGGTTTGTGAGCAGTGAAAACCTGGGTTCAAAACCCTAGCAACCCCAGCCCCCAAATCTAAAAGAAATTGATGAACATTAGGATACAATGAAAAATATCCATCAGGTCTCAGATAAGTAACAATTTGACCACCATTGAGTATAACTTTCACATTTGATGTTTTTCCAGGCAAAACAAATCCTTTTGTACCCATACCTTCCAAATAAAGTCATCGGTCATCCGCATGAAATTAAATAGGAGATAACATATCATAACAGAACAAGAACAAAAAAAAAAAATCTCAAATGTAGAATCCGCAGTGAGGCTTATAGGTTCCGAGGGATGAATTTATATCACCCACGTCTTATTACATACAATAAAAGGGTCACAAATAGTACTAATCAAAATTTGAAAAAAAAATTCAAATACGTCTAATTATCTATACAAAGGCTGCGTTGCATAACAAACCACCATATATGTGCACACTGGAAACCAGCATAAAAGATAAGTAAAAGCACCTATCTACTTCCATTCTAAAGTGAGATACACACTATCACCAGAAAAACACTAAATTAGTATGTAGCAAAGATCCAAAACAACCAAAATCACTAGATAATAACATGATTTTTCGAAAAGGAAAAAAAAAACAATACAAATCCAATCAAATACAAAAAATAAAAGGGGGGCGAATTACCTTGGGGGATCTTCACTCGACCATTGATGGTGAACCCATCTACAGACCTGCTCCAACACAGATAAATATAAACAAGTTGAAAACCTATTAAAAGATCCAAATACTATATAGAGCCATCAAGAAACTAAACAAATTCACTTGACGCTAATCTTAGCTGAAACCAGGAGCATCAAATAAAAAAAAATCTAAAGTTCAAAAGCATCAAATCCGAGTACGAAAAAGGAAAGCGGGAGTATCAAAGGAACAGGCGTTGTACCCTGATGAAATCGTCAGTGCAGTCGAGAGAAGCACGAGCAAAAGCAACGGTGCGATCGATGCCATGGCAGCTGAGATTCGGGAGCTTCGACAGTTGATGAAAACCAGAAGAAGCTTGTTGAATCTCAAATCGGTGCTTCTCACTTTGAGATGCCTATTGAATCTGGGCTTTCATATGGGCCATGATTTGGGGTTTTGTCTAGAACGAAGGAGTCGTGGAGGGTTTAAATTGAAATTTGGATTCAATTAAAGACCTGAAATCAACAATTTAGCCCTCCGTTTCTGTCCATATTTATAAAAGAATTAACTACTACTTTAACTCCTGAAATTATATCTTATTCTCACTTTAGTATCTAAATAATTTTTTTGATTCAGTTCAGTCCTTGTATTTTTCAAACATGATGCACAATACCCCAACCAATTTTTGTATTACAAAAAATCTCCATCGCACTCTAGAAGCATGCCACGTGGCACATAATATATATTAAATTTAAAAAACTTTGATAAATTTTATAAAAGCAATAATTTTTTTAAAATCTCAATTTGTTAAATGAAAAAATTATTTTTTTATTAAGCTAAGGTAATTACAAAGTAATATCTGTTCTAAATAATCTTAATCATTTGATAATGAACGCTCAATCACCCTGCTGCAGTCGCTGTTGCTCGAATATGTAACCTCAAATAATAATAACGATTCTTTTAAGATATATTATATGCCATATGACACGTAACTAAAACATAATAAAAAAAGTTTAAGAATCAAATTAAATTAAAAAAAATTGATGATCAGACATTAAATTTTATCATGATAAATTACGTAAATCTCTTAAAGTCTTATCTATGCATTATAGTTTACGATTTTATACTAAGAGAATATAGCAAAATTGTCTATATGAAATATTAATAGATTTGATGTAACAGAGATTTTTGTAAAAACATCTTCTTCAATATAAAATAATCAAATAACTCAACAAAATGTTTTAATGAGTTAATTGCACCATATGTCCTTAAACTATGGTTCTCTTTTTAAATTGATCCTTAAACTTCTAAATATTTCAATTTCATCTTTAAACTATAATTATATTTTAAATTAGTCCTCAAACTTTTGAACATTTAACTTTCACCCCCAAACTATATCCTTCATTCTAAATTGGTCCCCAAACATTTTCAACATTTCAATATCATCCCAAATTATATGTATATTCTAATCACATTCCATGTTAATAAAATCGTTAGGTCAAGTTATGTTATTAAATGTTAAAAAAATAAAATTTTAAGTAAAATTATGGTTATAATTAATTACATATTTGGATGAATTTAGGAATGCAATTGGAAGGTTTAAAAGTTTAGGGACTAATTTAGAATAAGAGTCATAGTTTGAGGATGGAATTAGAATGTTTAAAAGTTTAAGGACTAATTTAGAATAACTATCATAGTTTGGGGACATAGGAGGTAAGTAGCAGCCAGGAGACGATGGAAGACTTGGCCAAAAGGAAGAGTCTTATTGCAAAAAAAAATTGAGATGGAAGGACTAAAAATGTAATATAATCTTTTTGACTCAAATGAAGAAAATGGTAATCCTGTCAAATGTACCAAACTATCACTTATGTTTTAAATTGATTCTTAAATTTCATAACATTTTGATTGAATCCTCAAATATCAAGTCTTATATCAATTAACATTTTTTGTATATGTCATATTTTAGATATTAATAATTGAATTCATAAATTAAAGTATGAATATGTATATGTCATTTTAAAGAGACGAGAGAGATTAATCTCACATCGGAAAAAGAAAAAAAAATCATTGAGTTTAAAACAATGGCGTTATACATCCTAGTGAATGAGGTAGGCAGAGTGAATAACTACGACGAAGACCCGTGGTAGGTATCACAAAATTGAGCGAAGAAGAATGTTACACCTTGAAGAGGTGAGAGAGATTAATCTCACGTCAAAAAAATAAAATGAGATTTGAGAATTTAAAGAATCGACGTTATCTCTCGAAAAGAGTATAATAACCTTATGACATATATATTTAATATGAAACTATTTTAACATGTTATCAGTGTTGAGTATACCTCCTTGGCAAGACAACGGTAACAATCAAGGCCTACAACCTCGGCGTACTCAACGAGCCCCACAACATTATCATTTGATCACTCTACGACATCATCAAGAACTTAGAAAATATAAATAAATTTTCTTTGTAATTTTCCTGTTGTATTTTTTAAAATATAAATAAATTTATTTTTCTTTTAATTTTAATTCTTTCAAAATTTCCCCGGCCAAGGTAACGAGTTCTAAGTGACTGTTTCCTCGTCTGTCCGTTTCCTCGTCTGTTCGTTGATTAACAACTAGTATTTTTGAATTTGAAGAAACTTATCACCTCGACGTGATGAATTCTACCTATTTTTTTAAATTTATAATTTATAATTTTTATTTTTTTAAAATAATATTTTTTAATGGCGACGAGTCATTTTAATGACAATAAAATAATAGTTCATATGAGACCCGCTACTCGGGGACCATTTAAAAACAATTCCGAGGGAACTCGTCACCTCGAGATAACGAGTTCCGGATGCACTGTAGAAATTGTCGTATTCTGCAAAATGAAGTCTGAATAGACTCAATATCATAAATAATTGATCCGCTTGAGGTATTGGGGCAAAAAAAATAGAGTAATGGGTCTTTACCGTTCACCCAATAGAGAGAATTTGGGGCTTCTTTGTTGCTTTCATAGTTGGGTTCATATATTAAAAGTATTAAATGTCACCAAGAATGAGTAGATTTAGTGAAATTAAATACTAAATTCTTTATGCAATGTCAACAATTCGGAGAATGGTGCAAATTGAATTGGGAAGGTCTTCCTCGCCTCTGTAATACCTGATCCGAATTAACCGATTAATAGATCGAATACTGATAATTATACTAAAAGAGTCTTAGATATCATTAGATCAGGAAGGACACTGGAATATTCCTCCCGCGCTTATTTACATCAAGAATTTTTATCTATACTTCATTTTCGTGACCCGTTGCAAGAACAAAATCTAAAATTATCATCCTAACTCTGCAATTTTCCACCAAATTTTCTACTCCCGGTGACCCCGCCGGAGGGAAAAAGGAAGACGGAGAACGGCTAGATGAGCAGAGAATCATCAAGTACGTTGGCTCTAACAGCTCGATAATCGTATTGATCGGACAAAGGCAAAGCGGAGCAGTCAGTAAACTCGAATTAGACATTGCTTACTTTTTAGCCTGAAGTAGGTTATTTTCCTACAATCTTGCAGTATGCATACAGACCGGAACCAACAAATCCCAGCAACTGCCCAATAACATTCAGCTGTAACAAAAATAAATCAAGTCCCATTATGCGACTGCAACTTAAAACGAAAGATACGAATTTCGATCTATGCCAAATGTTAACTAGCAGGCAAGCAACAACAAGAAGGTAGTGCACTTACAATATCAAAGGGAAGCCCACCGAAAAGCATCCAGCCAAGTCCGATCGTAAAAAGATCCTACAACAGCAAATTAATTAGCATATCAGAGAACAAACTCGCAAACATGCACCTTTTTTTTTCTAATAAAGGAAAATATGTACTTGTATGGGCTGCATGATTGTAAACAAGGCCAAATGAATATCTTGAAAGTTCAATTATACATGGAGATGAGAATGCATCACTATACTCAAAGCGATGAAAATCATATGCAAATCAGATGCTCGATTTTTTTCAATAAATAATTCATGTAACAAAGTTCAGCATTTGGAACTTCATTATAAAAATTCCTTAATTAAACACAAATAGCAACATCGAGAATGAAATTGCAGGTCATTTATTCATGGCTGCCAAATTGTTGGTGGAGAATGCATTAATAGTGGTAGGAGAAGTGTGCAAGCATACCTTTAGATTGCCACAGATGGTTTGCGTGACCGCTGAATTGAGAGTTGTGTTCAAGAAGATAGTGTAATTCAAGAAGAAAGCTAGTGTACATGAAAGAATCATTACAGCCTGCACAAAAAGAAGGGGAAAATGCATCAACATTGTTAAAACTATCTCAAGTTATTTGATGCAAAGCTAAAAGGCACTGCACAAATGGTAAACGGGACGATGTTTTAAGTTTTCTAAACCTCAAGAGAATACCGGCAGGCTCGTATATATATAAAATGTCTATAACCCTTCAAGTGCTAGAAAAGATAACAGTTCTACTGTTGACACTTCTTAATATATAAACTTCCAGTTATAAAAGAGTTCGATTACATTGAGTCGCTTAGAAATAATCTTCTTACCACAAGAAATTCCTTGAGAGGACTTAAGAACAAACAGAATTTCCAGACACAAAAGAATATCTTTATTGATGCAGGAATTTGCTAGAGTGCGAAACATACCAAAAAACCAGGTGAAAAGAGGTGAGGAAAATTCATTGTAGTCTTCAAATCACCATGAAAAAATGTCCACAACAACAAAACCGGTCCACAAATTATGCCTATCATAAAAAAATCAGTTAATCATAAGACAACTGGGACAAAAAGTTATGTGACTATGGAATAAAGAATATGTAATTCAACTCAAGTTAGAGTTATAAGTTACCGTTACACCACATAAGCCCAAAGCTATTAAGCCCACTAGATTTCCCTGACAAAGAGGAAAATAGGCAAGAACACAAAAATTACGCCAGCACAGAGAAGAGGATATGCGGCTCAAAAGAAGAAAGAAGATGAGAGTACTACCAATGCGAGCTATTGTTGCAAGATATATTGCAGTAGTGATGTTGGCTAAGAAAACAACAGCATATCCATAAAAGTCAAATGACAAGTCCCGAGCTCCAGCGACAAATGCACCAAGAACAATCAACCCAACACTGAAAGGATCTTTAAATTTTTTCAGTTAAACAAAGATATCAGAAACATGGCTATTCAAGTCAAAGGTCTATTTGCATTTTCCAATTCACAAACTTTATGCATCAAAGGTTTTAAAAACCATCTGGTCGAATGCTCACAATTTTAAAACTTGTATAACTAGAAGTTAGGTCAAAGTAACAGCAGCAGCAAGAATTTCCTACCATAGTCAGAATATTAAAATCCTTTTAATTTTTTTTATCACAACTGAACACTTATACAGCTAGAAGATGATCAAGTCAATACACTATGTGCAAGATCAAAAGCTCATATAACTTATTTACTAGCTCCCATCATTTTTCATGTAATTTCAATTTTACAAACCTTTATGGCCATATTATTTATATCCACATGACCATTGAAGAAAGGGAGCTGGAAAACAAAAGCTAGGGCTTTGGTCACCACCAATGGAAGCACATCAATGCTATGTAACCCTTTTTCCAGTCAGCTCAAATTTTCTATTAGCACTCTCATCAATCAAAGACAACCAAACAAAATTTGGATTTCAAAATCATATTCTAGCAGCAACAAAACCAAGAAACTGTAAGCTGTTACAAGTAAATTTCACAACTATTAGAGCGACAGACATAACCAAACAGCTTCCTAGCTTTTCTCATTTTCAAGTTAACATTTTCCATGAGAAGCAACTACTTGAAAGGGATCAAACCGACAGTTACCTTCCAAGTATAGATGATGAATATTTCTGTCCCGCAAGAAGAAACTCCAAAATCATTGTAAACACAACCGTAGTTCGCCTAAGTGTAGTGTACATGGGAACATTCACGCCACGTACAGACTCAACCGTGACTAGCTTTCAAGGAGCAAGAGAAAGAATCAATTTTTATCAGCCAAATATCAAGAAAAAAAATATAATAAAAGAAAAGTTGACCATTTGCAATTTCAAACAATAAGTAAACAATTATCCAACTTATTGAAATTCGAAACATAATAGTACCATGTAAAGCAAATAGGTTCCTGCAAGAGGAAGGGTACGAATCAACGTCTTAATGGGAACCAAGCTAGTATTGCTATCAGCAATGGTTAAAGATTCATTGTTTGCAAAAGATATCATCTTCCACCGTCTCAGAGCATAGAGAAAAGTACACGAACTTGTCATCTACCAAATAAAGGATAAAAGAAAATTTTCAAATGTATATATATATATATATGAATTATATAATTCAAGCTATGAAATTCTTTATCCTCACCTGAAAGAGTGTAATTACATTGGCACAGGGGAAGTCAAAAGAAGATAAAGCTGCTTTGTTGAAGAGTATCAAAAGCACTGCAACAAAAACACAACAAATTAGTGTCAAATCCGAGGGCTGCGTTTCATCAACAAAGCGATCAGATAACCAAAAATTGGAAAAAGAAAAATGAAGAACAAACAAGAGGGGAAAGGGAACGAACCAGCGCAAGTCATGTAATAGATGGCGGCGTAGGCTCCTCTTTTGGTCATGGCGGATCCTTTGAAAAGCCTATCATCTCCTCTCTTGAGAAGCCCCTCTTTTTCTTCTTCCTTGTCTATCGGCGGATCCGAAATCGGAAGAATCGGGTTCTTGAAGGAATTCGTCGCCATCATTGACACTTCTCAGCTCTTTTCTTTTCTTTGAATCCGTACTTCGCTTTTGTGTGATTATGAAGACGACGACTTCAAAACGATAGTGGTTGGAGAGAGGGGACCTTCGTAGGCACGGAAACGACAAAGTACAATGGCCGAGTCACCGAGTCAAATAACTCGAATAAGGATCGCTGCTGATTAGGTACCGATCTGGCCCAATTCGTTTGATCTGACTCAGATGCCTTTTTCTCGGATTTTACAAACTTTAGAACAGCCCATTGGGCCTGGATACCAATCCAGAGCCTTCTAAAGTAAATTACTGGGTTTCTGGCCCAATTCATAGGTACGCAAGTGATATATCCAGTAAGATGCTCTAAGCCCCGTACGGGCCAAGTGTACTTAAGGATAGGCATGAGATCTGAACCCAACGAGTTTTGACCCGATCTGATCGGACTTTTAAAAATATTTGGGTTCGGGTCCGGTATGATTTTTTAAAGGTGTTGTTTGGATCGGGTCAGATTCGGGTGAAAAATACTCAATCCGACCCGACCCAAAAAAAATTACTTTATATATTTAGGAATAATTACAATAATACCCTATATATATATATTTTTAATTAAATCACTGTTTTTATTGAATAAATATAATATTTTTTATTATTTCGATTCGGGTAGGGTTCGGATTTTATCTCAATAAGTCGGGTCGGGTTCGGGTCGATGGAGGGTATATATTTTTTAGATCGGGTCGGATCGGGTGAAGGATACACAATTTTGGGCCGGGTCAGGTTGGTCGAAACCCGACCCATACCCATCCCTAAGTGTACCCTATTATTTTGAGAAAATGGTTAAATTTAGCTTAACGTGTTAAGGAAAAAAGAGCAAAATTAAAATTTTTACGTACCCATTATTTTTAAGGAAAAAAAATTTAAACATTTTTTTTTAATTTCTAAAATATCACACGTCTTCCTGGTACTACAATTCTTCTCGAGCAGCAGACACCTGCATTAGCAACAGTAGTTTGTCTTACTCAAATGGCATAACATTCTATAAAACAACATGGATTTAAGATAAATAAAGACTAAACTTCCAGCATTCACATAAATGCTTTAGATTTCTGAAATGCATGTATTAAATGTCAGGAATGTAAGATCAATCAGGATCATTAGCAACAGTGAAAGTTCCACGGATCTTCGCTGTGGCTAGTAGCCACGCACACTAAACAGTTTGTGCCGATGAGATGTGGTTGTTTTTCATCACCTCGCGGAGAGCATCGGCATAAGAACTCATGTCTGTAAGGATCAGAAGAACATGCTTCCCACATTCACATGCCAAGTATTCTGCAGTAGTGAGAGCAGTACGAGGTGTGATAATACGCTCCTTCTAAAGCTTCATTCGTTCTTTATCAGAAATATGGGTTTCATGCAACGAGAAGTTGCAGAAGAAGAGACGAGAAAGGACACCGGTTCGATGTGTCTGAAAGTGGGAAAGAGAGTGAACTCAATGTGAACGTGGCTGGATTTTTGTTATAGAAAATTTTTGAAATTCTTTCAACAATGATTTTTAAAATATTATTAGTTTGAAATTCTTTCAACAATGATTTTTAAAATATTATTATTTTATTGAATATTACTCACATTTCTACTGTTATCATCAAAGAAGACTCTATTGTTAGGAAGAAGAAGAAGAAGACAACAAGACACCAAGAAGAAGAAGAAGACACCAAGAAGAAGAAGAAGATACCAAGAAGAAGAAGAAGAAGAAGAAGATACCAAGAAGAAGAAGAACAAGACACCAAGACACCAAGAAGAAGAAGAAGAAGACACCCACACACACGTGGGGTTTTTTTTTATATTTTTTATTTTTTAATTCTAAACTCACACACGTGGCTTTTTTTAATTATTTTATTTTTTATAATTGTAAACTCAGATTTTCATTAATGAGGTAACAGAAGTTAACGGCTGAGGGACTTGAGTCGGACAGATCGATAACGGTAGAGATCAAACACATTTAATTAAAAAATCGGTGATCAAAATAGGTCAGACCTAAAATAAAGGGGACTAATGGCATAGTTTACCCTTTTTATTCTTATACATGTACATCCTTTTCCCTTTAGTTTCCTTTTGGATCTTACATACATGTGCCCTCGATTTCTCTAGAATTCTCAACAGATCAAGAAAAGTATTATATCTAGGGATGGCAATTTAATCGAATATGATGGATTCTGATTCAATTTGACCTAACGATAATAATATAATTTTTTTTTAAATATTATTTTTAATTAAATTCTTATTTTTATTGAGTCGGTTAGGTCGGATTTATACTTTAAAAAATTCAGGTTAGATTAGGTCGGTGGAGGATATATATTTTTTCGGGTCAGGTTGGATGAAGGTGATAAATTTCCGGTTAGATCGGTATCAGGTAGAGGATACATATTTTTGAGTCGGATTAAGTCAACCAAAAACCCAACCCTACCCTTACCAGTTGCCATCCCTAATTATATTCAATAACGGATCAAAAATATTTCT